CAGCAGGGAGACAGGTGAAGCAATGGGGCATGAGCAACAGCAGTGGATACAGAAACTGAGATTCTAGGTATGTCTGTTTAAGGACAGACTGCAACAAATACCCAGCTTTGTTTATCAAGACAGCGAAAAAGAAAATGTTAGGCAACAATAACAAGTTTGCTGGAGGTGATGGAACATGCTAAGACCGGTGTCATGTTGGGGAGAAAGAGAGAAATATTAAATCACTTTAGACTTCCTTAGAAATATGTACAGTTAAGAGCATATGCTCAGAATATTTAGGCTAATCAGTAGAAAGAACAAAACATCACCTAAAGTCAGCAAGGAAAAACCAGTGTGTGTGGAGCACTTTTTTTTTCTTTCAGAAAGACCAAAAAGGAGGGGAAAAAAGATGAGAAACTGGAAATAAAAATAAAAAGGAAGAAATAGGTCCAAATATCTCAGTAACCATAATAAATACAAACGAAGTACATTTCTACTCTTAAATAGAGAAGTGAAAACAGATTCTAAAACAACACAATTCAGTTGTATGTTTCTTGTAAATACAAAGCACACAGAAAGGTTGAAAGTAAAGGAACGAAAAAGATATTAACATAAATACTAAAGAAACATCTGTCGAGAGAATTTAACAGACTGGGCATGGTGGCTCATGCCTGTAATCCCAGCATTTTGGGAAGCCAGGGCAGGAAGATCACTTGAGGCCAGGAGTTCGAGACCAGCATGGGCAACATAGCAAGACCCCCCATCTTTACAAAAAATTTAAGAAGTTAGCTGGGCATGGTGGTGCATACCTGTAGTCCCCTCTACTCGGGAGGCTGTCAGAGAATTGCTTGAGCCCAGGAGTTTGTGGCTACGTGGTTGTGCCACTGCGCTCCAGCTTGGACAGCATAACAAGACCTGTCTCTACAAAAAGTGATAATAAAATAACATTAAAAATAACATTAAATTAAAGAGAAATGAGCTGATATTTTTAAAAGACTTTACATCTTGAAAGGACCCTGAGTCCCAGGAAAAGTCGATGTGATTTGCAGGGGGGAAATGTTCCACCTTGCGTACCCCCAGTAAAGTACTATCAGTGGAAACAGAAGAATCCTGTAGGCATCCAGTCAAAAAACACCAAGCCACGTAGAGGGAAAGCAGTTAAGCCGGCATCTGGCTTTTCCACAGCAGCATTCAACTCCAGGATACAGCAGAGCAACATCTATAAGATAATGAAAGAATGAGCCAAGGATTTTATATCCAGCCAAGCTGTCCTTCAAGTTTAAAAGCCACAGATGCACAGGTTCAAGTCTGCCAGGAACCCAGGAAATGTTGCTGCCATGAGCCATTCAGGAGAAACCACTAGAGGTCCAACCCCAGGCAACCAAGAGACAACTGGAGAGACTTTGGTTCCAATACTGGCGTAAGCATCAAATACATGTAACTAGAGAGTAAACCAGAAACAGGATAAGGATGTCAGAATAGACTTTAGTATTCCATGCCCCAATAATGTGTTAACAAAAGAGTTAAGTAAAATGGAGAGGAGAAGGGAGGGGGAAAGATCCGGGGTGGCATGAGCTCTGGGATGATCTCATCCCTAGCAGTTGGGACTTTAAATGAATCAGAATATCATTAAAAACTGACATATTAAGGAGTACTATTTTTAACAAGGTGGAAGTAAAAATTGGAAAGGAGTAAACAGTATCTGAGATGATCCAGAAAACCTGAGAGAATTGACGAAAAAACTGCAGACAATATGAGAACTCAGCAAGGCGGTGGGATGTCAAATTAATGCATAACTATCGCTACTCTTCGTGGAAACGCATTGCAGCCTATCAGAAGTCTTATAGACAACTCCATTTGCAATAGCATCAAAAGGATGAAATGTCAAGAATAAGCATAATAAAAATATTCAGTACCCACTTGAGGAAAAACTTAAAACCCCCTAAGACAAAGAAGAAGAAGAGGAAGAGGAGGAGGAGGAGGAAGAAGAAGAAAAGGGAGACATATCATTGTTTTGAGTAGGAAAATTTCATAATATAAAATGATCATCATGTCCTAAGTTAATTTATAATTTTAACATCCCAGTAAGTATACCGACTGATTTCTTCATTCTCAGAACTACCTAAGGTGGTTTTTAAAATGTCACATGAAAAAAAAAAGCAAGAAGAGCCAAGGAAACTTGAACAGGAGAAACAGTAAAGGGATTCTGATCCTTCCAGATACTGAAATCCACTGTAAAGTCTTGATAACTAAACATGTGGCTGTTGCTCCTGGAGAGGCAGATTCAGGGAGCAAAGGAAAAGGCCCAGAAATAGACCCAAATATCGATGTGGTGATTGATTCTATGATCAAAGTGCCTCCTTAAATCCGTGGAATGATGGGATTTTCAATAAATGATATTGGAACAAATGGGGAGCCATCTGGGGGAAAATGGACCCAGACGTCACACCACAGACACTGGAATCAATTCCAAATGGATCCAAACTGGAAACATAAAAATGAAGCTGTAAGGAAATGAAACCCAAATCAAATATCAAATCACTGTATAACCTCGGAGACTCTAGCCAAGATTCAGAAATCCAAACACTGCACAAGAAAATATTGATACATTTTACTACATATGCATTTTTAAAAATCTGTGTGGCAACAAAACAAAAAACCCGGCCTCAGTGAAGCCCAATTCTCAACTTCACATGTGTTAGCTGTGCACATTAACTTCCTCCAGGGAGGAAATATGGAAGGGGAAAGAGGAACGTGACAGTGGGGACACTCGGCAGACACACCTCAACCAGGTGATGAGGGCATCCCTGGCGGTGGTGAGTCAGGTGGATAGTCTGTGCCCTTGGCATGATATGATGAGAAGGTGCTTTCCCTCCATGGTTTTCCTCCCAAACCTATCACCCCGGTACACACATGAGAAAAACATCAGACAATGCCCAACGGAGGGACATGCTCCAGAACACACCTGGCCAGTCCTCCTCGAGCCTGTCCAGGTCATCAAACAAAAGGAAAGGCTGAGGAACTCTCACAGCCCAGAGGAGCCTGAGGAGATGTGACGACTCAGTGTCACGTGGGATCCTGGATGCAATCCTGGGATAGAAAAAGACATTAAGCCGGGCTCGGTGGTTCAGCCTGTAATCCCATGCCTTTGGGAGGCTGAGGTGAGTGGATTGCCTGAGCCCGCGGGTTCGAGACCCGCCTGGGCAGCGAGACTTCATCTCTACAATAAATCAAAAAATCAGCCGGGCGTGGTAGTGCATGCCTGTAATTTCGGCTACTTGGAAGGCTGAGGCAGAAGGATCGCTGGAACCCAGCAGGTCAAGGCTGCGGTGGCTGGGAGTGGCTACTGCACTCCAGTCTGGGCGACAGTGAGACTCCAACTCAAAAAGAAAAGAAAAAGACATTAGATGGAAACTAAGAAAATCCAAATAAAGCATAGGTTTTAGTTAACTGTTCGGTGTTGAGTCTTTGGTTGTGATGAAGGTAGATGGATCCCCATAGTTAACAACAGAGTTGGGTGTGGGGTAGATGAGAACTCTCTGGAATTAGGCTTGCCACTTCTCTGTAAATCTAAAATGATTCTGAAATGAATAAGCCAGCCCCATATGCAAAATCAAAAGATAAAAACATAAGCTGGAAAAATACATTTGCAGGTCACATCACAAATGAAGACATATTAACTCATTAACTCCTCAAATCTTCCTCGAGCACCTGCTCTGTGCCCAGCACTGTGTGCAGCTCTAGGGAGAGTCCTCAGACAACGTGGTGGCTGCAGAACCCATGGCAGCTTCTCTTTCAAGGCTAGCAGGAGAGTCTCACTCTTGTCACCTACAAGGGTCAGATTTAACATAATATATCCAGAGAACAGCTCCCGTCACCTGTGCCATGTGACATCACCGATCCCATGGTATTCTCAGTCCTGCCCATACTCAAGGGAAGGGAGTTACATAAGATGGTCACACCAAGGGGTGGGGTCTGGGGAGCCTTCTTGCAATTCTGTCCACCACTGCAAGTGAATGTAAAATGAAAAGAAAAATAGTGAGCTCCGTATATGGTAAAGTATCATGACCTTTTAAACATCAAAAACAGGTAAACCCGAGTACTGTTCAGTAAGTGACAGAAGTGTTTGATGTGTGCATATAAAAAGGTAATAGTCATCACACAACTCATGGAGTACTACAAGAGGAGGAACTGAGCACCCAAGTACCCAAGGCACTAAGCAGTCTTGAAGCGGGAAGGTCTGTCCACCTCAACAAAGGAATGAGGGGGAAGATGACAGTAGAGATGCAACTTCCTGGTCCAGTGTCAGATTTTGAGTTGATTAGTGGGTTTATGGGTGTTCGGTTCATCTTCTTTTTTTTTTTTTTTTTTTAGAGTGGGAGTCTCACTCTGTCGCCCAGACTGGAGTGCAGTGGCCGCTCCCGGCCACCGCAGCCTCGACCTGCTGGGCTCTGGCAATCCTTCCGCCTCAACCTTCCAAGTAGCTGGAACTACAGGCACACGCTACTACGCCTGGCTGATTTTTTGATTTATTGTAGAGATGAGGTCTCGCTGCCCAGGCGGATCTCGAACCTGCAGGCTCAGGCAATCCACTCACCTCAGCCTCCCAAAGGCGCGGGATTACAGGCTGAGCCACCGAGCCCGGCTTGTTCGGTTCATTTTCAAACACACAACATGAAAGAGCCATGAAAGCACTGGTGATGTGGATGTGTCATGAATCAGTGATTAGCTCAGAGTGTGCACCTTAGGTCTTTCAAGTATGTTTGAAAAGGTGTGTTTATCCAACGTTTTCAAGGAACCCGCAACGGCTCAGAGGACCTCCTCAACTGAGCTGTGGGTGGCCTCTTTGGGAATCCGATTTCCCCGTGTTTCTTAGAAACTGACTAGGTGTCTGGAGTTGGGGTCCTCCATGGTTGGGGCACCCATGGGGTCTAACCCTGCACCTGCCACAGCAAATGTTTGTTGAGCACATGAATGAATGTTGAAGGCTGTGTTAATGCTTCTCTTTTTCCTTCCCTCAGAAAATCGCCTTCATGGTAGCGCTAGGCCTGGTTACAACGGAACACTTGGAAGGTAAGAGGAAGGACCCAGGCAGCGGCAGACTGGGTTGGGACTGAACAAAAGATATCGGATGGGGCCGGGCAGATGGCAGGAGTTCCTGGCTTCCGTGGCACACAGCAGTCTGCCAGGGGAAAGGTGTTCCTTGCCCTCAAACTGGAGGCAGCACAGTGCAAGTTATTTAGCTTCTGTGAAGCTGGGCATGGTGGCTTATGCCTGTAATCCCAGCACTTTGGGAGGAGGATTGCTGGAGCTCAGGAGTCTGAGACCAGCCTGGGCAACGCAGTAAGACCCTGTCTCCAACAACAAAAAAAACTACTTAGCTGCTGTGTGCCTCAGTTTCTTCATCTGTAAAATGGGATAGTAAACAAGCTTTCTTCATGGAGTTGTAAAGCACCAGAAGCAGTGCCCAGCACACAGACACAGCATGGGGGTGAGCCACCACTTCCCTACCATGGAACTGACCTGCGGCTGTCACATTCAAAATTGGAACATTAATTCCTTTGAGCAGACAGGTCACCATTGCTCTATGAAGGTGCTGTGTGACTTTACCGATGCAGACAGTTGCCAACGAGCTGTGAACTTCGTCACAGAATGCTAAGAGCAAGGACAACAACGTCACAGAATCTTAGGGCCTTACCGCACATATGGGGAAACTGAGGCCAGAAAAGCTGATCCCTTGCCCAAAGCCCAATAGCCCATTGATATCAGGCCCAGGCTGGAGTCCAGGACTCCTGGCTCCCAACCCAGAGCATTTCCCACCATGCCCACCTTACCTGCTGGAGACATTCTATGAAGCGAAAACACATACCTGAGTGAATCTGGGTGCCAGAAGGTAGACTCATTTTTGTTTCCTTAAAAGTGAGGAAAAGAGGGGAATGGACTGAACCCACGCAGAGCCTAAGCCGCTAGCAGTCTTTAATCTGAGGTAGAGGTTCTTCCTACCTCAACAGGCAAGTAACTGAAGCCCAGGGAAGGGAGGAGACCTGGCTAAGGTCACACAGCTCACGGAGGCCAGGCCGGGAGCAGAGCAAGCTTTCCTGAGCTTCGCCAAGCTCAGCATGCCAGGAGGGGGTTCAGGCCTTTCTGCACTGCCTCTGGGGAGAGTCTTGTCCCGTCATGTTCCCTGGGTCCGACTTGCTCCCTGGTGGCAGACGAAGCGTGCTGTGGGTGGGGAGGGACAGGGAAGTGGCACGGCCTTCCAGATCCCTGGGCAGGGAGGCCCCATCCCAGCAGCTCTTGCTCTTGCAGGCAGTTGCCAACAAAAGGCAGTTGGCCTTTCTCCTCTGCTTATGGGGTTCGGAAGCGTTCTTTGAGCTTTCCACCTGAGCATGTGAACTTGAGCGTGAGGAGTTACGCTGTCCTCGGCTTGCCTTTGAGAGCTTCTCAGGCTCCGACTTTGGAGCCAATAAGGAGGCGTGAGGTGATGAGAATGGAAGTCCCTTGTTCAAGTCCAGGTTACCAGCTTGGTAACCTTGGACAAACTCCTTCCCTACTGTTAACCTCAGTTTCCTCATCAGCAGTGCAAGAAAAACTGCATCCCTAAACTTTGTAGGATTATCATGGGGACTAGCGAAAAGTGCTTCCCTAATATGTTCCCGTTGTTATAAGTAGTCCTCGTCTGGAAAACCCTTCCCATCTCCTGCCCTGTGATACTCTAAGCGTGTATGTATATGGACTTTCCTCAGAGGGTCTGAGGTGCCTTACAAGAAACACGCTGAGTAATACTGAAAAGGTTTGAAAAATGAAACCAGGCTCAAGAGACAGAGATTAAAAATAACATCAAAACAGCTACACAGAGAGGCAGGTTGCAGACCTCACCTGACAGGGAGAGCAAGAGAAAGGAAAAGAAAGCACTCTTGGTAAACACAGCACACATCCTCACTCTCGCATGAAGCAAAGCGCACCAGGCTCCTGGGGAGGGATTCATGTTGGGCTGTGTGGGGTCAGCGGTTCACCGCGCAGCAGGCTTGCACCCAGCCTCTCCAAGAGCTGGGAATCTCATTCTGCAGCTCTGTGGGCCAGCATCTGACCAGTGGGTGTCTGCCATCCTGAGGGTCCCAAGAGATGGTCATGGGCTGGATCTCGACACACAAGGGGAGCCCTGTGTGAGAGTGAGCACCTGGGTCCTGGGTACCCATCACTCTCCCACCAATCTGCCATTCAACCTGAAACCACCAGAGCTGTCCTGCCAGGGAGTGAGTAATTCCTGGAGGCCCCACACCCCTGGTCACTCTGCAATGTGGATGCTGAGCGGATGGAGAGGCTTCGAAGCAGAAGGGGTCGGTGGTGCCTGGGGCTTGGCGAGGAAGTGTGTGGGGATTCCCGGGGCAGGAAGGATCCAGTAACCGCTATGTCTGTGCCTTTGCAGAAATCCAGAGCAAGCGACAAGAGCGGAAGAGAAGAAGCACAGCCAACCCTGCCTACAGCGGCCTCCTGGAGACCGAGGTGGGGACCCACCAGCCCATGCCACAGTGGGAGATGGGGGGCCAGGGGACAGTGAGTGCAGGGACTCCAGGAAATTCCTGGACCTCCCTTACTCTCTGTCTTTATTGCTGCCCCCGTCTGTCCTTACTGAGAGCGGGCTTGGGAATGACTATAAATATTATATCTTTCTCCACCTCCTGAGTGCAGAATCAGTTGCTAGAGAGATTTGGAAGAGGAAAATGTTGGTTTATTCCTAAGGGAAGCTGCACTGAGGGGTGTGCTCAGATGCGAGGTGCACTGGCTTCCTGACTCCACACTGAGTGTTGAGGCGAATCCCTGTCACAGGTAGGCTGGGTGCCCTGGTGTCTCGGGACCACCTGGCATCCCAGGACTACATTGAGCTTCACCTGGAGAGGCCACCCAGTTGGCTTGTGGTTGAGAGAGGCTGAGAATGTGCCTTGAAAGAGCTGAGCTGGACATGGCTGGTTCCTTCTCTTACTCCCCATTTGGAGTGTCGAGAGGCTTGGCCATGTCCAAGACAGTTTAGTGACACAAGGCTGGGACTTAAGATGCCTGAGTGGGAGTACTTGGGCCCCTCCCATAAGCACGTTCCCAGGGAGAAACTAGATCAGAAGGGAAAGCTTCCTTCCCTTGTAAACTAAAATCCAAAACATCTAGATTAAAATCCTAATGTCTTCTCCCCAAAAGCCTTTGGTACCTTTTGCTCAGAGGCTCAGGGCTTTCTTAGGGGTGATACCCTGCAATCTTTCCCTGGGATGAAGGCCATTTCCTTAAGGTCCCAAGGCCCCAAGCTTGGAGAAACTGTCCTGATTAAAACAGTGTCCCCGAAGGTGGATGTGTCCTGTGTAAAACAGTGTCCCCGAAGGTGGATGTGTGGTCCCTTCAGACTGCAGCTCCGAGATCCCAACAAAGGGAAGAGAACATGCTGTTTCGCCTCCCAGAATGTTGGTTCCTCTGGACCAGCCATCCAGAATCCTCATCTTGGGAACTTGACCAGGAGGGAGGGATCTCCTGTAGAATGGGGTCAGTTCCCGGCCCTGCAATTGCCCTGTCTGGGCACCTGAGTGTGTCCTCTGGCTTTGTCGACCTGTCTACACTTTCTCTCTGCTTCTGTGCTCCCCGGTCCTGTTCTGAGAACATGCCCCATGTGGGCAGTTTCTTACCCGTCCCTTCCTCCTTGGTCTCCTGAGCAAGAACCCTCTCCCCAGACTCGGACCTTTCAGAAGATTGTCATCAAGTTGTTTCTCAACCCTTACGAAATGGTGTCTTCTCTGTAGACAGGAAGGGCCCCATTCCTTCTGATTTGTTCATTAATGAAACTGTCCCCTGCTCTGCGAGTGGGGCACGACTTCAGTCTCCCAAGTCTGTGGTGGGGCCAGAGATGACCTAAACAGGTCAAGAGTCAACTCAAAGCTGGTGGCCCACGAGTCTTGGACAAGTGTGCAGTGAGAGAGCCCTTCCACGAATCCCTGGATGCAACCAGAGAGATGGTTTTAAATCCAGTGACACAGTTCTAGAACCATCTTCCTGCCACACCCAAAGCCACTTCAGACCACCAAGGTCTGGACCAGTGTGGCCTGTGGTTGTCAAAGCCATGACTAAAACCACTCTTCTTCTACTTTTTTTTTTTTTTTCCTGAGTCTCACCCTGTTACCCAGGCTGGAGTGCAGTGGCATGATCATGGCTCACTGCAAACTCAACCTTCTGGGCTAAGGTGATCCTTCTGCCTCAGCCTCCTGAGTAGCTGGGGCTACAGGAACATGCCACCATGCCTGACTGTTTTTATTTTATTTATTTATTTTTATTTTTTATTTTTTTGAATTGGAGTCTCACTCTGTTGCCCAGCCTGGAGTGCAGTGGCCGCTCCCGGCCACCGCAGCCTCGACCTGCTGGGCTCCGGCGATCCTCCTGCCTCAGCCTTCCAAGTAGCTGGAACTACAGGCATGCGCTACCACGCCCGGCTAATTTTTGATTTATCGTAGAGATGAGGTCTCGCCAAGTTGCCCAGTCAGGTCTCGAACCCGCGGGCTCAGGCAATCCACTCACCTCAGCCTCCCAAAGGCGCAGGATTACAGGCTGAGTCACCAAGCCCGGCTGTTTTTTATTTTTTTGTAGAAACAGTCTTGCTGCGTTGCTCAGGTTGGACTTGAACTCCTGGGTTCAAGCAGTCCTCCTGCTTTGGCCTCCCAAAGTGTTGGGAATTCAGGTGTGAGCCACTGGGCCCGACCATGCCATTCTTCTGGACTGTACTATGTACCTTTGTCTGCATGTGACGCTTCGGGCCTCAAGCCCCAAGAAGTGGAATTTTAGGGAGTCAGTCATTCCTCATTGCCCCACCTGACTCCAGAACCAGCTGAGAAGCAGATACGGGAGACATGAATGCAGAACACAGAGTTGGCTTTGTTCCCGATTCGCCTGCTTTGGGATGCCTGCTTCGTCTTTCCTGGGTTAAACAGACGTGTCCACGGGAGCAGAGAGAGATGTCCTCAGCCTCCTGCAGGGCAAAGCCTTTGCTGACTCCCTTGCCCCCACTGCCAGCCCTGTGTCCTTTGACCCTGTATTTGCCCTTGTTTTTGCCTCTGGCAGGGGTTGTCCCAGCTGGAGTCTGGAGCCCTGGGCAGGGAGCCTGGTCTGGGGTGGGTCCTGGCCCGGGGTGGCTTAGCTGGGGAGGGTCTCCAGACGATGGCGTGTTGTTTTGTTTTGTGTCCCCTGCAGAGGAAACGGCTGGCCTCCAACTATCTCAACAACCCCCTGTTCCTCACAGCAAGAGGTAAGCACCAGCACCCAGCTTCTGCCACAGCCGCTCCAGGGTTGGGCGGAGCTGGGCCTCCACTCCGGGCCTGGCAGGGCTGACCTGGGTAGAGGGGGATGAGACTGCTTGGAGGAGGCTCCCACCTCCCCACTCGTCCTGCTTGTGGCCTGGGGCAGGTCCTTAGCTTGTGCCACAGGTATAGGTGTGGCCTGCGTGCCTCTGCCCGGTGGCCCAGCCCAGGTACTGCCTGCCACCAGCAGCCCAGAGACAGCCCACTTGTCACCCACCCCTGTGGCAGCCCCGATGCCTGCTGGGCTGGGCTGCTGGCCCTCAGCACACACCGCGCCCACACTCATCCTCATGTGCCTGCTGAGGGCATCCAGAGGACATAGGCTGGACTTGGGAGACCTGGATCTGCTTCACTGTGTGACCAGGCCTGGCCTTCCACTCTGGGACCTGGGCTCCTCTGTACAAGGCACTGGGCCTGATCTTCAGCGAGGGCCCCCAGCTCTGGTAGTCTGGGCCTGGCCTGAGTCTCCACCTGAGTTTGCATGGGCCCCTCCCACCTCTGCCAGCTTTGCCCCATTGCCAGACCTCAGGGAGCCACATTCATAAATACAACCAGCAGCCGGAGGCCACTTGTTATTTTCAGTTTAAAAAATGTAAATAGTCCCAAGGGCAAAAATGACTACCACCTTCTTGCATGTCTATGTAGCTTTCAACCCTTTACAGTACTTCCCTGGGTCCTGGATTACAACCTGTAAAACAAGCCCATAGCTATGTGCTTTCTGAGAGCTGGGACAGTGACATAATGGGTGAGCATGACAACACTTCATGAGCTGTTGGGTGCTGTGCAGACAGACACGGTGCTTCCCACTGGATGGCATTATTTGCAACAGATGTGACCCAGCACTGAAAGGAAAACCATTTTGGTGATCATTAAAACATGTGGTTTGACATCATTTTCTAGGAACGGGAAGGGCTTATAGCCAAACAAAGAGTTGAAAATAAGTCATTTTGGGTGTCCCTGGAGAGACGATTCCCACCCTAGGCAGTTCACTGCCACCATATGCTCAGCAAGCTCAGGGGCCATGATGACCCTCTTCCCAAAGTGGTTCCTAGCTATGACCAGGACAGAAACCCTTACTCCCATCATGCCCTGGAATGAAATCCAGGTGTCATAAGACCTTGTATTCACATCATGCTTTTGGGTGAAAACCAGGCACCACTAGAGCCTTGTGAGACTCCCATCATGCCCTGGGGTAAGAACTCATCCCTGGGGTCTTCTGAAACTCAGAACTCAGGCATCTTGGGGCCCTGTAATAGTCCCATCATGCTCTGGGATGAGATCTCAGGTGCCAGTGGGGCCTTGTGATACTCCCGTGGTGCCCTGCCGTGAGAACCCCTGCCACAAGAGGCCTCAAGGACTCCAGTCCTGATTTGTGCTCCCCTGGTGCTCACTAACATGCTCTCCACCCTTCTTCCCTGTGCTAGCCAATGAGGACCCCTGCTGGAAGGTACGTGGCCCCTTCACACCTGGGAGGGGCGGGGCATGTTTTCAGTACAGTCCAGGGTCACTCCTGGAAAGAAGGGAGGGGCCCTGGAGTGGAGCAGAAGTTCTTTGGGCTCCACACTCCACCCAGTCCACTTTCCAACCTGCCAGGCAGTTGGGCATTGCCCCAGGGCTCAGTACACAGGTTGAAGCAGGGCCCCACCACCACCTCTGCTTAGTACTGAGGATGCAGGGACTCTGGGGGCCTGAGGGTCCAACTGGAAGTAGTCGGGTGTCAGCTGGTCTTTGCCCCAATTCTGCTGGCCTAGCTCTATGACCCTGGGCAGAACTGGCCCTCTCAGGTCCTCTGCTGCCCACCCCAAAAGAGGCTGGACTTTGTACTCCCCAGGGTCTCCCTCCACACGCCCATGTTTCTGTGATCCTGAGAGACCACCCCCCCACACACACACCACGTCCCTGCTTCCCAGGACATTGGCTGGTCATGACCTCATTCATGGGCGTGGCCTCAGAATTTATTCAGCATTTTTCTTTACTAAATTTCTGATCTAATTCTAGAAGAATATTCTAGTTCCCACATGCTTGTAATGGTCAATCCTCTCAGAAGCAATAGGTGTTTGGTTCCAGGCAACTCTGGTTAGGCTGTGCTGTTTCTCTCCCAGTCCCCTGCCATGGCGGGCATGGGGACGGGACACACCTTGAGCCTGGGCCCTGCCCCCCCAGAGCCCACAGCCTTGGAGGGGCCTTGGCTTCAAGACAGGAGGCCAGGATGCTGGTATCCCAGCTCCACCTCCAGCACACTCTGTGGCCTCAGACAACTGCCTCACCTTCCCTGGGTCTTTGTAGGAAACAAAGAGTGTAGACGGGGATCTCTGAAGCCTCACATGAGGGTGCTGGCCTTCCTTCAGGGACATAGGTCCTTGTGGCCCCTGGTCTTTTCTAACTCTGAAGTTGGAAGACGCTGCTGACTCATGGCTAGAGAATGGAGAGCCAAAGAATGCAGCCATCTTGTCCCAGTTGGGCCTCTGTCCCCGAGCGGTGTGAATGTGAGGAGCGTGTGGAGAGAAGCTTGGGAGTGCTGACTGGGTCCCCACTCCAAGAATACAGGCCTCTGCTACAGTGCAGGACACCCTTCTGGTCACACGCCTGGAGTCCAGGTCTTCAACGTAGAAGAACCAGGACACCAGAGCCGCATACCAAGCCCAGCTCTGACGCTTGGTGACCCAGCCCCTAGTCAATGTGGCTCTGTCAGTGCCCTAGAATCCTGCACACCAGGCAACTCCTCCCCCACCTCCTGGGGTCCAGGCCTGTCCCCACACTGTTGCCCTCTGGGGGCTTGCCCCTCTCTCTCCCTAGAGCTGCTGAGAAACTGGCAGAAGCGCGGCTGCAGGTGGGTCAGGACGGAAGCTGCTGGGCCTCGGCCCCTCTGACTCGCCTTACGCCCTTCCTTCTCTTCCAGAATGAGATCACCCACGATGAGCACTGTGCCGCCTGCAAGCGGGGGGCCAACCTGCAGCCCTGCGGCACCTGCCCGGGGGCCTACCACCTCAGCTGCCTGGACCCGCCCCTCAAGACGGCGCCCAAGGGCATGTGGGTGTGCCCCAAGTGCCAGCAGAAGGTACAGGAGGCTGTGCAGCTCACCCTCACCCTGCACCGATTCCTGGGGGTCCCCACCATGGGCAGAGATGGGAAGGGCAGAAGAGGAGTGAAAAGAGGGGCTTGGGTACAGAACAGGCTTTTGCAGCCTTGGAACCACTGTCGTTTTGGCCAGGGTAATCCTTGGCTGTGGGTCTTTGTCCTGTGAATTGTAGGATATTTAGCAGCCTCCCTGGCCTCTACCCACAAGATGCTAATAGTGGCCTTCTTTCAATAATGGCCTTTTTGGCTGAGCACGGTGGCTCATGCCTGTAAAAATCCCAGTGCTTTTGGAGGCTGAGGTGGGAGGATTGCTCAAGGCCAGGAGTTCATGAGCAGCCTAGGCAACATAGAGCCCTCATCTCTACAAAAACCAGATGTGGTGGCATGCACACCTGTATTCCCACTGCTTAGGAAGGCTGAGGCCAAAGGATCACTTGAGCCCAGGAGTTGGAGGCTGTAGTGAGCTGTGATCGAGTCACTGCACACCAACCTGGGTAACAGAGCAAGATCTCGTCTCTGAAAAAATAATAATAGTTGCTTTTTTAAAACCTATGCCTCAGCCAGGCTCGGTGGCTCAGCCTGTAATCCCGCGCCTTTGGGAGGCTGAGGTGAGTGGATTGCCTGAGCCCTCGGGTTTGAGACCCGCCTGGGCAGCGAGACCTCATCTCTACAATAAATCAAAAAATCAGCCGGGCGTGGTAGCGCGTGCCTGTAGTTCCGGCTACTCGGAAGGCTGAGGCGGAAGGATCGCCGGAGCCCAGCAGGTCGAGGCTGCGGTGGCCGTGAGCAGCCACTGCACTCCAGTCTGGGCGACAGAGTGAGACTCCAACTCAAAAAAAACAAAAACAAAAACAAACCTATGCCTCACTCTGGGGACTCTAGCCTAAGGAAATGACCCAAATATGGGTGGAGAAGCCCCTCACTCTTTATTCACAAAAGAAAGGAGATGGAAACGGCCTGACTTCCCATCAACAGGAGACAGTGAAGTTGATTCCAGCATGGAACCTCGATAAGACACTGTGCTGTCATTGACAAGAGTTTCTTACAAAGAGTGTGATCCTTTGGGACTTGTTCACTATATGGAAACAAGTTCAGCCTGTAATCCCGCGCTTTTGGGAGGCTGAGGTGAGTGGATTGCCTGAGCCCGCGGGTTCGAGACCCGCCTGGGCAGCGAGACCTCATCTCTACAATAAAAAAAAAAAAAAAATCAGCCGGGCGTGGTAGCACATGCCTGTAATTCCGGCTACCCGGAAGGCTGAGGCAGAAGGATTGCTGGAGCCCAGCAGGTCGAGGCTGCGGTGGCCGGCCACTGCACTCCAGTCTGGGCGACAGAGTGAGATTCCAACTCAAAAAATAAAAAATAAATAAATAAATAAAAGACATCAGGCCAGGCTGGGTGGCTCACCCTGTAATCCCAGCACTTTGGGAGGCTGAGGCGAATGGATTGCCTGAGGCCGAGGGTTCAAGACCCACCCGGGCAACTTGGCAAGACCTCATCTCTACAATAAATCAAAAATTAGCCAGGCGTGATAGTGCCACTGCACTCCAGTCTGGGTGACAGAGTAAGACTCCAGCTCAAAAAATAAAAATAAAAATAAAAGACATAGCCAGGCATGGTGGCGCATGCCTATTGTCCCAGCTACTTGGAAAGCTGAGGACCTGAGTCTAACAGATCAAGGCTGCAGTGGCCATGAGCATGCCACTGGTTTCCATCTTGAGTGACAGAGTGAAACTCCAACTCAAAAAATTAATAGATAAAAAACAGGCTTTATAGCAACCATAGGGTTTGGTCATCAGCCATCTGAGAAAGCCCTATGGGAGACGCTTCCGAGTGTTACTCCTGGGGGTTGAGGGGTTGGGGGCGTGGCAATGCTTAGTTCAGATTGTGCGTTCCACAGTAAGCATGTCTTGTAGAATCAGAGGGCGTTACCTGGGTCTCAAAAAGCAGTAACTGTCATGCATTCTCATCATCCTGACTTTTGTCCCCACAGGGGACATAGATATGGTGGCTGGGTGCTGCTGCAGGTTGTCCCCTCTGGAGGTATTGTGACTGCTGGGAGTCACAGCTTTTTGAGGTAATGCGGAAACAGTTCAAGATTCTGTCCCCTACTTCAGCACAACACAGGGAACACTGGGTCTCCTCCGTTTGTACCTGGCTTGCCTGGGGCTGGCTGCGGTTGAGCGCCCTGGACATGAGAAGAAAAGAGAGATCATTCATTCATTCGAGAAGGATTTGAGCTCCTTGTTCAAGGCCCTGGTGAGGAGCAGGGAGAGAGACCCCGAAGGTTCCTGCCTCATGGAGCTGACCTTATTGCACAGCCTGTGAGCCAGGCCCTGAGGCCAGTGTGGCCACCATTCCCTGGTCACAGGTGACGGGTCTGTGTCTCAGAGAGGGCGTGTCTCCTCTAGATTGCACAGCAGGTCCCAGGACCTGTCCACTTTCTCATTTCCCCATCTACTCTCCTCTCCCTCTGCCCCCAGGCCTTAAAGAAAGATGAGAGCGTGCCCTGGACGGGGATGCTGGCCATTGTGCACTCCTACGTCACCCACAAGACAGGTGAGGCATCGTTGGGGGGTGGGAAGGGTGCCGTTCCTCCTCCCCATCCTCCCCCCCCCCGACCCCTGCACTGACTCTGGACCCGTGGGAGGCTGGGTGAGTTCAGGCTCTTCCTGGGACTGGTCCTGTGCACGGGGCAGGTACTGCTGGGGGAAAGCAGTTCTGGTCCTCAAACATCTGGCCAGAGCTCTCAGTGCCATCCTTTCTGCATCTCGGGCCTACCCTCTGGCCCAGCCACTGCTTACCTGCCCTTCTCGGCGGGGCCTGGCCCTCTTTCCTAGTCAAAGAAGAGGAGAAGCAGAAGCTGCTACAGCGAGGCAGTGAGCTGCAGAATGAGCACCAGCAGCTGGAGGAGCGGGACCGGCGGCTGGCCTCCGCAGTGAAGGTGCGCACAGATCTGGGGGCGGATGGAGCTCCACTGTTCAGTTACTGTGGCCCAGGGAGAGACAGGCTCACCACGCATCCCTCAGCAAATGCGCAGGAGGGCAGCACTGTGATGCCTTCCACAAATATGTATCCCATATTTGGGATCCAGAGCCTGGATGTTCCCAATGGCTAGAACATCCAGGCTCTGCCCCTTCTCAGCTCTGTGACCTTGGCATGGCCTTGACTTCTGAAGCTCAGTTTTTTCCTGTGTAAAGTGATCATAATTGCTCCTCTGTAGGATGTTATGAACGAGATGATGATGGTGGTGGTGGTGGTGGTGGTGACGGTCACAGTGGTGGTGATGGGGGTGATGATGGGATGATGGTGATGATGATGGTGATAGTGATTTGATGATGGTGGTGATGGTGTGGCCATGTGATCACAGTGATGGGGGTGATCGTGGTTGTGGTCATGGTGGTGATCACAGTGATGGGTCATGATTTGTGGTCATGGTGGTGATGATCACAGTGATGGTGATGGTGACGGTGATGTGATGATGGTTGTGGTGGCGATGGGGGTGGCAATCACAGTGACCGTGATGATGGTGGTAAGCGTACTGGTGATGATGATGATCATGATGAAGGTGATGATGATAAAGTGATGATGCTGGTGGTGGTGGCAGGGATGATGTGGTGATGTTGATGATGACGATCGTGGTGTGACGACGGTGGTGAGGGTGGGACCTCCGTGATCACGGTGGTGGGGGTGATGGTGGCCGTGATCACGATGGTGGAGGTGGTGGTGGTGGTGATGGTGATGCAATGATTGCTGTGGTGATGATGGCAGTGGCGACCACAGTGACGGTGATGATGGTGGTGAGGGTGTTGGTGATGACGACGATACTGGTGGTGGTGGTGGTGATGGTGATGATGGTGGTGGTGGTGGCAGTGATGATGTGATGATGTTGATGATGATGATAGTGGTGTGACGACGGTGGTGATGGTGGGACCTCCGTGATCACAGTGATGGGGGGTGATGGTGGTCGTGATCACGATGGTGGAGGTGGTGGCGGTGATGGTGATGCAATGATTGCTGTGGTGATGATGGCAGTGGCGATCACAGTGACGGTGATGATGGTGGTGAGGGTGTTGGTGATGACGACGATACTGGTGGTGGTGGTGGTGATGGTGATGATGGTGGTGGTGACGGTGATGATCATGATGAAGGTGATGATGATAAAGTGATGACGGTTTGTGGTGGTGACGATGGTGGTGATGGTGGGATCTCCGTGATCACAGTGATGGGGGTGCCGGTGGTCGTGAACACGATGGTGATGGTGGTGGTGATGATCACAATAATGGTGGTGGTGAGGATGGTGACATAATCATGGTTGTGGTGATGATGGCGGTGGCGATCACAGTGACGGTGGTGGTGGTGGTGAGGGTGTTGGTGACGATGAGGAGGATAATGGCGGTGGTGATTGTGATGATCACGATGAAGGTGCTGATGATGGTGGTGATAGTGATGTGATGATGGTGGTGACGGTGGAGCCTCAGTGATCACAGTGATGGGGGTGATGGTAGTTGTGACCACGGTGGTGATGGTGGTGGTGATGATGGCGATCACAGTGACAGTGATGATGGTGCTGAATGTCATGGTAAAGATGAGGACAGTGGTGGTTGTGATGGTAATAATGATGAAGGTGATGATGATGGTGGTGGTGGTGGCGGCAGCGGCAACAGCACTGCCAGGCCCTAATGAAGCTCTTCGACTGCAGCATCTCCTTTAATCCTCTCAGCAGCCCTACGAAGAGGCTCTGTGATGATCCCTGTCATCATTTTAGAAATGATCTCAGGGCGGTTATTATTTGCCCAGGCAGCATTTGAACCAGAGCTGGTCGAGTGTACCTCTCTCATCTGTTTTTACCGCTTCACCTTGTTGCCATGGGCATAGATAGGCTCAAAAAGGCCAAGCAGCACGGCTGGCAAGAGAAAAGCAGGAAGCCACCCAGCAAGCCGGAGGACTCTGCAGCCGGCCGTCGGGAGGCGGGGGAGTGCAGGCAGCTGACTTGGAGGCAGAGGTGGGAGCCCCACAGCCGTGAGGGGAACGTTCCCTGCAGCTGCACAAGCATACTTTCTCTAGCCCCAAATTCCAACACACACATATCTCCTGTGGGTCTGGCTGCTGTTTAATTCCATTGTCACGGCTGCCTGGTTTTTGGGAGGCCCTCTGCCGGGTTTCTTTCAGGTCTCTACAACGAGCGGGAAAGGCTTTGGAGAGAGGTAAAAGGGTGGCTGCCCCAGGGGGCCTGCAGAGCGGACTTTGAGACCCTTCTCTCTGCCTCCTTGTCCCCCAACAGAAATGCCTGGAGCTCAAGACCAGCCTGCTGGCCCGTCAGAGAGGCACCCAGTCATCCCTGGACCGCCTCCGGGCCCTCCTGAGACTGATACAGGGCGAGCAGATGTTCCAGGTCACCATGACAACCACCAGCCCCACCCCGCTGCTGGCCGGGCCCTGGGCCAAGCCCTCGGTGGCAGCCATGCACCCTGCCCTCCAGCATCCCCAGGGGCACAACTGACCCCAAGGGACCTATCTTCACACCCGTGGAAAGTTACTGGGACCCTGCTCTCACATAGCCCGGGGGTTCTGTCGGCCTTAATTCATAAACACTATGAGTTTCAGACAAAAATAAACCAGACAGAGGAGAGGAGGGAGAAAGAGCCGGACAGAAGACCTAGTGCCAGGCCCCGGTTGGAGGGTGGGAGGGGACAAGGGTGTGTCGGGCCGGGGCGCACAGTCAGCCCGAACCTCCGGCCACCTCGGGACCACCCAGGCCTCTGGCTTCCAGGCCCAGCTCTGTCCACGGCCTCGCACCGCCCCAAGAGAGAGGGAGGCTGAGACTGTCGAGGGGACAGGCACACTGCCCAGCACGTGGCTGATCCCCTGGTTGAGGGTGACTCCTCTCATTGTCCCGCGGGAAGGGGAGCTGAGAACACACGGACATAGCTGAGTGGTAGAGATAGTTGGGCTGAGAAGTGGGTAGCAGGGCTAGGTAGTTCCTCAAGACCCCCCACCTCCCTGGAGGCCCAGAGGGGGCTGGGCACTCCCTTGCCTTTGCAGAACCGCCCTGGCCCTTTCTGTCAGTATTGCTAGGGTTAAGAATTGCAGCTTAACTTGAAACTCGTGGAGGCGAGCACACGTCCAGGGACGGGGCCGCCGCCCAGCTCGACCCTCGCAGCTCACCGCCTTCCTCCTGCCGATCTCCTGGACTCCTTTTGCTTTTGATGTATTTTTCTCATGGAGTTTTCGGGCAAGACAGAGCTGCAACCTTGCAGGGAAGGCACCTGGCCGGTTTTCTGTTTTGGGTTGAATCACTCAACTTACGACGGGAACCTTTGCGTTGCCCCTTTAGAAGAGCCGATGAGTATTCCACTCCTGTTTTCTTGCCAGTACAGACACTAATGCCAAAAAATAACTCTACGTTTTTGTATGGCGTTTTTATTGTAAGATATTTAATGTGAAGGGGGGGGCGCTTGCTGACGTCTCTCTCTGCGTATAGTATTCTCTGCTTCAAGGTACGAATGGAACACCTCCCCTCGGGAAGGCCAGCCAAACTGGAGAGATCCAGAGTTTTTTAAGAACTGGGGCCGGGGACTGGGAGAGGGAGAAAGGGCGGTGGCCTTGGGAGGATCTGGCCTTCGGGGACACGAGAGTCCCCTGCGCTTGCTGCCTCCTCACGTTGGCAGAGACCTCCAAGGGCTCCTGCGTCTGGGGTGGGCACTGCCGGCTCCTCACACCCACCAGCCCCTCTGGTCCTAAGGGACTTAGCACAACAGGATACGCGTCCAGGAGCCATGGGCTCCCACCCCGAGCATATCACATGGTGCCGAATTGCATTGAACACGCATGTGTGCGTCGCACGCGGCCACGACCACAGACACGCACACACGCAGACAGGTGCAGAGTGAGGAGGCCGACCGAAGCCCCCAGACAGCTGCGGTCCCTCCTGTCATTTTCACGACTCCGGGAGAAACTGTGCTGTACGATACAGATCTATTTTAATACACTTAACACTGGGTGAACAAGATTTTTATATTCTTTTATTGATGAACAAAGTGGACTGTGTGGCACACACGTCTTCTATATTGACCGCTCTGTGCCAAGTATGCATTACCGCGTGGCTTGCGATGCCAGTGTCTTCAGGTTCCTTTTCCGTTGGTTTGTTTTTCTTCTTCTCGGATGGATTGAGTTCAGTTTTTTAAAAACGTAATGGGAGGCTATGAGAGGTTGGACCCGGGAGGGATAGCTGCCGATGTGTCTTGAGATTGTTAGTTTCTTTGGACCAAGGAGGACCGTCCAGTGGATAGTGAGGATAGAGAAAAAGTGTTTGTCTTAAATATGCCAATGTAGTTTTCCTTCTGTACGATGCATTAAACTCGATTGACGATTTCAAAGCCCTGTGGTTTTGGTGTCATTGTCTTCAGCGGAGAAGCCCCTGAAAGTGCTGGAGACAGCCAGGTGGGCCCTGGAGAGGCTGGAAATCAGGGTCCTGCCCCCCCCCCAGCCCCTACAGGTGGCAGGTGACCCGTTGGGGCCAGGATTGATGCTCGAAACCCAGCAGCCAGTCACTGTGCAGAGCCCGGGTGGGGGGTCACCTCTGCCCCCTCATGCGTTCCCGTCTCTCAACCTGGTGATGTCACCCACTTTCTCTTTCTCAGCAGTGGGCACACAAGCTCCTGCAGCCACTGGGGCTTACCCTTCGCCTTTTGAGGCAACCAAAGTGGGGAGTCAGACCCCCCCCAGAGTCTGAGCTTCTGATATGGGGAGGGCCTCTGATTGGCCCAGACCCCTGGACCCTCAGCTGTGGCCACAGGGTGGGGCCCGGTGCCAGAGCGGCTGCCCTCTGGTGCTGCAGGGGATAGGGAGGTGGAGGGGCCGGCCAGGCTGGACAGGCCATCCAGCAGGGCCACCACGGGATCATCCAGTTTCCCCCGGGGTGCACAGTTTGGGCGAAAGGAGCAGATTTTAAGTCGGCTCTGCCCTCTCCCCTGTCGCCTCCCCCTCCCTGCTATCTTCATGGCTTCCCTGAGAACCGTCCCAGGGTGCCCGAGGGGGAACAAAAACATCCACACTCAGCATCCACGATTCACTCCCAACCTTTTCCAGTCAGGCTCTCGTCCCCCAACTGCCTCACCCCTTTACTTCCCTGGAACCGCCCAGCTCAGGGTCAGTAGTGACCTCCCTGGCCAGGTCCGATGGATGCTCTCGGGGCCACGTGACACTGCCCATACGCTCCCCTGAAGGAGGCTCCTGGAAACCCCACTCTCGACGGCCTCACTGTCTCTGCTCCAGGCTTGCTTCTCTTCTGCCTAATCACTAAGTGCCGGGCCTCAGATCTGTGCGGTGCCGTGACAGCATGATCTCCACCAGGCCAGCCCCTCCCGCACCTTCCCCAGGAGGCACCCTTGGCTCCTCTCTCACCCTCCACACCTGGTCCCTGGCAAGCCCATCACCGCTACCTGCAGCATGTCAGCTGGGGTGGGGCATCACCACCTGCTCCAGTGTCCGCTTCATCCCAGCCCCACCATCTCTCTCGGATTCCTGCAGCCACCACCTACCTGGTTCCTTCCTCCCCCCACTGCCGTCTCCCCAGCCCGGCAACTGGCGCGATGGCAACTCTCTGAACGCCCTGCCGTTGCTCACTCAGCAAAAGCTGAAGTGCTTACTCTAATTACCCGTGGCCCCACAGCCACGGGCCCTGCCTGCTGTGGCCTCTTTGGGTCATGTCGTGCTCTTCTCCATCGTCCAGTCTCCTTGTGTGCTCCCACCGCAGGGCCTTTGCATGGGTTGTGCCTGCCGTTGGCACGCTCCTCTCCAGCTCTCTCCCTAATTGACTCCCTGACTTGCTTCAGGACTTGACCTTGACCACCATCTCCTCCCAGCTTTTTCAACTCCCTCACTAGGACCCATCATTGCCCTGCTTTGTCTGGCTCCTTAGACTTTACACAGCCTACCGTGATGCATGTTTTTATGTTTCTGTCTGTCTGCTTCAGAAAGGCAGGGAGTTTGGTTTTGCTCACCAAATCCATGCCTCTGGAACAGCACCTGTTACACAGATGCTGTTCAGCATAAATGTGGAGTAAATGAAGGAACCCCTGAGAGACAGAACTGCTGGGCCTCGGAGCTGCCTCTCTCCTGGTGCACCCTCCCCACCCCCATCTCTCCTGCCAATCCGGTTGTCAGGGGAGGCTGGGTGGGCAGAAGAGAAAGTGGAGGCCGGGAAATCGACAGAACTGCCTGAGACCCTGCAGCTGCTGAGTGGGTGTGTCCGACGCCACTCATTCCTTGTTCTCCAATCACATGTGTCTCCACCATAACCAGCTCCACTCCCACTGAGAGGCAGGGCCAGGGGAATGCTTCTGCCATCTCCAGCTCCCTGATAGCATGGGGAGTCCCTCCAAAGCACTCTCACTGCCCGCTCCACCACCCAGCGATGGCAACTCCCTCCTCCCTCCAAGGGAAGCCCCCTTCAGAGGAATGCCCTGTCCTTACCGCCCCCCGCCCCCGCAGCTTCACAGACCCCATCCCAGAGCACCCAGGCAACTCTGTGCTGTGACACCCTCCCATTCCTCAGCTCCGCCTGACCCAGCCCTGGAGAACAGGGGCCACAGCTCTGGGTGAGAAGGCTGTCCTGGGCAGGCCACCATTGCGGGCCTTCCTGCCTTCAAGGAAGTTTCTCCTTGGCATATCTGGATTGCCAGCACCACTACTCTTGCGCTCTGGGCCATCACTAAGTAAAGTAAGTGTTGTTTGAACGCAAGCCCAGGGATAACTGGCACTGCTGCCAAATGACTGATGACAGGAAGCGTCTACAGGGTGGATATGCTGGATACAAGGATGATATGCGTTCCAGATGGTGGGAACTTATGGAATGTTTACTTCTGGACTTTTCCATTTAGCATGCATGGACTATAGTTGATTGCAAATAACTGAACATGCAGCTAAGGGGGAACTACCGAACAAAGGTCTTTATGTTGGGGGTTAGGACTTTAACCTTGGGGGACACAGTTTAACCCTGGTGTGGTTTGAATGTGTCCCTCCCCAAATTCAAATGTTGCCAATGTGTGTTTTTTTATTTTGAGTCGGAGTCTCACTCTGTCACCCAGGTTGGAATGCAGAGGCACACTCACGGCCACCGCGGCCTCGACCTGCTGGGCTCAGGTGATCCTTCCACCTCAGCCTTCCAAGTAGCGGTAACTACAGACGTGCAGCACCATGCCTGGCTAATTTTTTTATTTATTGTAAAGATGAGGTCTTGCCAAGTTGCCCAGGCTGCTCTTGAAGCCCTGGGCTCAGGCAACCCTCTCACCTTCAGCTCTCAAAGTACTGGGATTTCAGGCATGAGCTACCATGCCCAGCCCTTGCCAATGTTATAATGTTAAGAGGTGGTGAGGCCAGGAGGGTTCCTTCCTCATAAATGGGATCAGGTGCCTTTGTAAAAGGACTTGATGGAGAGATGTCATTCCTTCTTCCTCCTTCTGCCACGTGAGGACATAGCGTTCCTCCACCCACCTACTCCCAGAAAACACAGCCCTCACGGACAGCCCAACCTGCCCATACCTTGATCTTGGGCTTTCCAGACTCCAGAACTGTGAGAAAATAAATGTCTATCCTTTATAAATTGCCCAGTCTGTGGCATTTTGTTATAGCAGCAGACAAAGACAAACCCATAATAGACACCTTTCCTTGGGTTGCCTGAAACCTGCTTCCTTCTGGCTTCTGCTCTCTGGAAGTAGCCAGAGCTGTCCCATTGGCTCCTCTGCCCCACATAGCCTGCAAAGGCAGAAAAGAGACCCAGTTCCATTGACAACCTGACTCTGTGCCCACCCACCTGGCTTCATCCTGCACTGGAATATCACAGCTCCTCACGGG